AAACTAAATTTACATCAGCTTTGATTTTTATTGGACCATTTCCTGTTATGTTTCCCTCTGAACGGCTTATTTAGCTTTGCTGTGAATGTGGAGCAGGTATTTGATCTGCTGGACCTGTGATAATGCAGCAGAAGGCTTTGAAAGTCTCCAAGACGATAAGACTAAAAGAAAAGGATTGGAGTTGAATTGAATTTTAAAAAAAAACCTGGAATGACTTTCTATTAAAACCTGCTCCCAGTTGTGAAATACTGATAAAAGGAAAAAGGAGGGGGTAAAAACTGTGATTTCTTTTACACTCTGTGTCTGTGTGTGTCTGTGCTGTACTGACTCTATACCTACTTCAATGCACAAAACAAAACAAAAGAAATACCTGATGTAGGCTTTAAATTACTACCAGTAACAGTATCAATGCTGCCACGAAATGTCAGATTGCTGTGTACAGCCATAGAAAGGCTTCTGCGTTTCTTTGACTTTAGTTGTGTAGAGCAAAGATCTACAGCCGACAGACCAGTGAGAACCATGTGTCATCTCCTACGTGGTCTCTGAGACACTATAAATAACAAGTGTTTGCATTTATTTGATTATCAGCTTGAGAGAAGAAAAAAAAAAAAAGATCTGCTTCTCTCCAAAATACGAACACCTCAGGTGTAACGTCAATTACTTTTCAAAATAAAAGTCTACGGACCAAAGTCTTTCTGTTTTATTTGCCTGGCGAAGGAAGGTGTCGTGGTGTTTAAGGGAAGCTGTTGTTCTGCTTCTCTGCTTTTTGCGAACACCTGGAACACCTGATACCCATGGGGGGGGGGGCAGGGGGCACTTCCTGTACTAGCACTTCCTCTCTCCTTCTGCACTTATCTCCATCCTAGTTAGGAAGTCGCACTTTACTAATTAACACATTAACAAGTTCGCTGCACACAGTTCCTCTGTGTAGCTTGATTGTTAATTCTGGATAAAAACGTCTTTATTCAAAAATGCAAATTTCAGTTTCGATTTAAGCAAATGAAGATAAAAATGCCAGTTAATTCAGATGTACAGATTGAACAAAGTACATAATTGTATTTTTTAGTGTTAATTTACTATGTTCCAATCACACGTAGATCCAATCGTTAACCAAAAACACATGTTGTTTTATCTCATGTATCTCTGTGTCTGTCTTGGGTTTTTTTGTTGTTTTTTTTTTTTTCACTCAACGCTTGTATTCTGGCCTTTTGCTGCAACAAGTGAATTCCTCTGCACCGGATCAATAAAGTCTAATCCAATATTTATGTTGTTATTTTCTGAGTTTCACATTGATCTGTTGTTTTGGTTATTGGACGGTACGCCTGATGACTCACTTCTAATGCACTCAAGTGTCATTCAAGCCCTCATAGAAAACCTGTCCCGAGTAGAGCAATTACATTACAGCCCTTTAGCGCCCCCATCTGTTATCCACAGTAATCTCACCCTGAGCCCTATACTGTGTAGTGTATACTATATACTGTATGTACCCAGAACCTAAAAAATAGTCAGGTTAGTAGTTAGGCAGTAGGTAGATACAAGAAGAAATCAAACAAATTCAGCTCTTCTTTCTTCTTAGTATTTCAGAATCAAAACGAAAATAATACAAAAAATAACAATAATAATAACAATAATAATAAATAGAGGAAGAAGAAAATGTTAATAAGAGGAGAACCATTAGTCTAGTTTGAAGACAAAAGTAGTAGAACTTCAAAGGAAGAAGAATTAGATAAAGATCAGATGAATAACCAGCACAAGCTGAAGAAGAATGGAAAGAACAAAGGTCAGAACAGACTTTAGAGTATAGTAAAAAATAGATGATATAATAAAACTAGAAGTAGTACTGAAGGAATAGGTGTTCACAGAAGTCAAGATAAATGCAAGGAGACAAGTTGAACTACAGAAAGAATAAAAAGGAACCAGGGTAGAATCCACAACTAGAAATAAAAATAGAAGAAAGAATGAGAAGAAAAACCAAAAGTTGAGGAACTAGAAAAAAAACAATCTTGAAGTAAAAGCACCAGAAAGTGAAAAGGACCAGTAACTGCAGAAGAAAAGCCACTGAGATGGAGCTGCTGCAGTCCATACAGGTACAGGAAGGCCAGGTTCACTGTCTACTCTTTTTAACCTCTTATATCGTAGATAGTGGTACTACGATGTAGACCAATGGTACAGTCAGCCCCTTGTAGACCACATCACTGGGTTAGGGTCATCAGCTGTTGTAACAAAAGTGCTAAAATTGTAAAGGGAATTTCATCAAATCTCTAAATGTTGAAAAATGGTTTAATAAATGCAAAAGATAAAATGGTGACTAATGGCAACGCCTCTATTTATTGCAATTTTTTTTTAAATTTTGTACTCATACTTATATGTAACCTGGACTTTATAGAACATTTCTATATATTGTTTTTAGAATTGTTATAGTACATTACACATTTTATTATTATTATTATTATATTATTTTAACTATTGTAATTATGTTTTTATAATTAAATGTTTCATTTCAATTGGATTCATTAAATATTATTATATTTATTTCTTCAATTCATAATTTAATTTTAGACCAATGTCTGGGTAACTGTTCACTATTTATTTGATTTGTTTTAAACAAAGCATGAACAACAACAAAATAAAAAACCTTTTTGTTGCTGATACTTTTTTGCATTTACTAGTTGTTGTTAGCTTACTTGTTAGGCTAACGTGGTACCCAGTTTTAGCTAGTAGTGATGCACTAAGCCTTTTTTCCCTCAAAAAATATCTGAATTTTAGCCATCCTGGAGTTCCTGTTAACTGCCAACTCCTAGCCACATCTGGGCTAGTTTTTTACATTGACTTTGACATTCATGCATTAAACAGATGCTTTTATCCAAAGAGGGGAAGCACCACTAGGGATCTGTGGTTTCTCTGGGAATCGGAACCTGGACTCTGTGATGTTTAGCTTTTTAACCATGCATTGAGTGTACAGTGTACTGTTATATCAGAGTAACAGCTGTTATTATTTATCTGGTTTATTCCTGCTACAGTATATGTCCATAAATGTACATTAAGTAATTCTTCGTTCCTGCTCACTGCAGTGTGCTCTAGCTCTAAAAAGGGAAAATGTTTGTGCTAATGCAGCAATCATCTGCTTTTTACACATGGCTGAGTCCAAAATGAGTCTACTACTGAGGCAGACGGCCTTGGAAAGGAACAAACATCCCAGGGAGCCTGTCAGAATTGTCCTTACAGAAAGTTAATGGTCAGAGAAAGCTTTTATCATCGTGGACTGCACAGTAGCCTGATTACAAAATTGGGATAATCTTAACCGCAGCAGTGGAAAGGCAGAAGAAGAGCGGGGAGAACGCTGCTCCCTGGTGTTTTAGCCGTGAGGCTCATCAGCCATGTCACTCTCTGCTCTGCTTTCATGGCTGCAAAAAGACAAAGTTTGCAACAGCAGCATCAGCAACAGCAGCATCAGCATCAGCAGCATCAGCAGCAGCTGCTGTACAAATTACAGGCTTATTTTTAAAATCTCTGCTGAA